AATATAATGAATGTACTGACGGGAAATGGGTATGATGACAAGACAATGGATGTACTGACAGGAAATGGGTATAATTCTTACAAAATTCACGATTAAAAGCTTTGTAAGTTAACTGACGTGAATACCGCTACTCGTTCTCTCACATTAAACTATATCCGTTAGATTACTAATCGTATTTCATCTTCATTTCTAGACAATTACAAGGCAACGACGATTTCGGTTATCACACGTCATCCTCTGCCTTTTCGACCGGACCAAGTTACACCGACAAATGGTAATAGCATGGACTCGGAGTGGCCAAGCCTTTCTTCGGTCACAGAGACACATAAACGGGAGACTGACTCGGAGAGATCGAGTTTTTCTCCGGTTACGTCATCACTGAAGAGATCTAAGAAAAAACCGCAGCCCATACCGGAGGAATTTAAAGACAACGCTTATTGGGAACGCAGAAAGAAGAACAACGAATCGGCGAAGCGGTCTCGTGAAATGCGCAGATGCAAAGAAGAGCAGACTAAATATAAAGTAGCGATTTTAGAGCAGGAGAATTTACAACTAAAAGCCGAAGTGGCCATGTTAAGAAAAGAACTCGAAAAAGTACACAATATGCTGTACTCTAGATTACCGGTTACTCACAACAGTTGATGTTAGGCCTTTTTTAGGCCCAACGAATAAACTCTGTACGATCGGAGATAGTAATAGCGCCATCTGGAGAAAAATAACTAAACTTTACTGTGATCCTTCATCGCACTCATCTTCTCTGTAATAATTTTTTCATATTTTATCAGTCATTCAATTAATTATTTATTAATCTTCGTTACGTATTGAAGTGATTATTAAGTCAATAAAACAATAATTTTAATATTTATTGACATATCTGATTTCCTTATAACATATACAACTGTGATATACTTTTTTCAGGTTTTTGTTACTGCAGTCGGATAACATAAAATGTTTGAAACATACTCACAGAAATAGAAGTTTTAACAACCAGGGACTTTTTCTGCTAAGCCTAAAATAGTTTTCTTTGAAGATTCTACAGCATTGGAATCTGGAATTAAGCAC